AAAAAAAAAAAAAGATATTGTTCATTTTTCTTCATTTTACATCACAGTTTCAACTTTGCAACAGCAATATACTGGTTATATCAGCAACTTTTAAGATATACATGATATATATCCTAATTATATCCATTTTTCTCTTATTTATACAATATAGACAACGCAAAAAATAATAAAAAAGGAAAAAATATAGAAACTTGATATTATACAACAAACGTATATCTATTGAAAAGAGTCGAGGTGGCGCAGTGGTTAAATGCAGCACTGCAGGCTACTTCAGCTGACTGCAGTTCTGCAGTTCGGCTGTTCAAAAATCACCGGCTCAGGGTTGACTCAGCCTTCCATCCTTCCGAGGTGGGTAAAATGAGCACCCGGATTGTTGTTGGGGGCAATATGCTGACTCTGTAAAACCGCTTAGAGATGGCTGAAAGCCCTATGAAGCTGTATATAAGTCTAACTGCTATTGCTATTGCTATTGTCTCCATGGTTCTAACATAGTTCTCCATACATTTGTCATTCTATATATTTTAATTTACACTTTTATACATTCTGGTAGTAATATTGCTTACAATATGTATTCTTCTATATGACTTTATACCTGTATTTATTTCTGGTTTGTTAATCATCTTTCATCATTAGCTTTCTAGTCTTTGCATCTAGTGCAGTGTTTCTCAACCTTAGGGACTTTAAGATGTGGGTTTCAACTCTAAGAATTCTCAGGATTTGTGATGACTGAGGAATTCGGGGTGTTGAAGTCCATACTTCCTAAAGTTCCTAAGGTTGAGAAACACTGATTTAGTGGAGTCTCACTGAGTAGTGGGTTGGACAAAATAAATATATAGATAAGTTTCCTTCCAGTCAGCATTGACTCCTGGAACTACCTGGACTAATCCTTGCACTTTTCTTGGATAGATTTTCATAAGTGGTTTGCCACTACTTCTTCCTAGGGCTAAAAGATGGCGACCCAGCTGACGTTGTGCCTAAAGTGGGACTAGAACTTACAGTCTCCCAATTTCTAGCATGTTGCCTTAAATCATGATGCCAAACTATTTTTCTTTATAATTCATAGATCTATATGGCTTCCACCCTGATGATATTCAAATAGTTATTGAAAACCAAATTTCTGTCCCATTCCTGTAGTAAGGTGGTTGTTGAGTCTCTGTAGGATGTTTTACTCATTATGCATGGTTTGTATTCTGGGTGTATGATCTATATATTAGTTGTATTTCCTGCTTTTTAAAATGTAACCCATCCAGAGATGCTTAGGGGAGAATAGCTTCTAAATCATGTAATAGATATAACACATACTTAGATGCACAAATTCAACTGATTTTGTGAAATTTAAAATAGGTTTGACCTCGTGCTTGTTATGAAGTGTTTAATTTGTCTGCATGTGGGCAAGGACCAAAAAATAAATATTGGTCAGATTGGTAAAAATTTACCACATGTTTTTTCCCTTCTGTTTTGTGCCCCAGCAGGTTAAGAATTTTTCAACGCCCACAAAAATTGCTGATTAGTAATTCTTAGAGGAGTACAATACATCTCAAGGACAATAGCCTAAGGAAAGTTGAGTTTCAGGTGAGGGATCAAAGGTAAGTACTTTGATATTTGTATCAGGGATAATAAACAAAAACATTCAACATTCTAGTAAGTATTAAAAGATATGCACTTTAATAAGCAATAAAAGATTTTTTGCATGTTATGTAATCACATAGCTTTTTTTCCCCTTCCAGTTTGTTTCCTGGTTTGGTTAAAAAAATCTGTCAGGTGACAGTCTTATCAGCTGATGGTGGCGAGATCAAAATTCCAAGTTCTTGTTGCCTTTATTTATTTATTTTCCTCATAGGTACTTTCTACCATGAAAAAAAATACAGTACTATGTGTGATTTTGTTATCTATCTTGGCATACAAACCTGGTGTAACAATTTGCATTATACCCAATTCTATTTTTCCACA